GATATAAACAAATTCATCTATCATTGGTGTTATCACATTGGTGTTAACTCTAATAACTATATAGATAGATTTTCTGTGTGAAAACTTTCCCTAACCTTGTCTTTCAGGTCTTCAAGGGTGCACTGATATTCCTGTAACTGAGTCCCTCCACTTTGCTGCTGTTCATTCTCATCTTCTCTTTCCTTCCACCTTCCCTAGAGAACTTGGTTGCATAATGTAGAGTAAAAGAACCTATTTCTTTCATATTACTTTCAATTATTCCTCTCCAGGCCAGAAGACAAATAAGTAGGCAGGCACAAATTGTACTTCTACTTCTGTGATGCTTTTCTTTATGTTCCTTTTTTTTGAATCATTTTCTTAGTCGTTTTTTTTTTCTCTCTAGGCATTGCTTCCTTGCCTATTTAGCAATATCATGCAACACATTTGGCTCTTTTCTTTTAACCTGCCTGCCAGGCACAAAGCAACTAGGGTGCTCATTACTGATCCTTCTGCTTGGACATATGAATAGCCCCTGGCTGCATATAAAAGTTGGTGTTTCTTAACTATATGAATAACATTAAAACAAGGCACAACAGTATCCCTAGGGTGTCTTGTAGCAAGCTGAAATTTCATCAAAATGAGGAAAAGTACTTTGTGACTTGCACATAACATTGTAACACAAATACAAAAAAAAAGGGGGGGGCTGTGTGACTTCCCAAGCTCCGTTTTCATGGGGAAAGGATTACAGGAAGATGTCCCAGCTCAAAACAGAGTTTGTGAGGGCCATGTGCTCCGTTTTTGCTGGCAGAAGGTTGCAGGAGGCCATCACAGCTGAAAATGGAGCTCAAGAGCCAGTTTTCACTGGCAGTGCACTTTGGTCAACACAGGTGCCCTCCTGACATGAGTGATGTCATGATGGCCATGCCCACCCTGGCCATTCCCACCCCGGCCCACCAAGGTCAAACACAACCCTCAATGTGGCTCTCAATGAAATCAAGTTTGACACCCCTGCTTTACAACATAAGCAGTATTAGCAACACATGTATGAGGAACCAAATGGGCACATTCATAACCCTTTGCATTAATCCCTGCCAAATAAAGAACTACATATATAAAATCCACCTTCCATGTTAATTTCTTCTTCGTTAATTAAGATCAAATGGTTGTAACTTAAACAGGCAGACAGGTAGAATTCTTCCACATGTGACCAAGTAATTAAATTCCGTTTTTCCTTCAACACTTCACTCTCTGAATCTAAATCTTGTTGGCAGCAAAGACACACTTTGTATTGATTAGATTGGGGGAAAAAGTTGGGGAAAAGACTCATCAAATCACAACTCACCAAATAGTAGGCCAGTTACAAGTCAGAACTTTCAAAACAGGCAAGCTTTTTTCTAAGATAAGGAGATTTGAAATGATCATTTTGAAATTGGAATGTTTTGAAGTCAAACCCTTTTACATTTTCTTGATTAAAAGAAAAAATAGCAGTGATACATTTGATCAGTACACCCCATCTGGCCATCTACCTTAGATTGTTTTTCATGTATTTTTACATAACAAGTATACTTTGGGTTACTTGGATTTTCTACCAAAAGGTGAGAAAGGTGAGAATATTCTCCTTTATTCTTAATATTGAAGAACATAATAGAGTTCCAGACCCTCTTCAGTTCATTAAAGTAGCATTTATGTAATTAAAAGTAATTTTGAATCAAATTCCAGAAGGAAAATAGCAAAACAGAAAACTGGTTCCTGGATCCTACTTCTGCTTCTACAGTTTTTTTACATGCAAATTTTTAATGAGATTTCCGTATAACAATAACTCCATGGTTACCCTAGACCGAAATTGAATGGCTTTAAATGATAACTGAACTATCTGTTGTAGAACTTCTTACAATCTTTCAATGAAAGTTCTTGACTGAATAACTATATTTCTTTTAAAACACATTAGAGAGATTTAATGATAGACAATCTTGATATTGAATTGTATTGTAGATACTAATGTAATCTAAATACAGAAGCAGTAGCAATATTAACAATTTTTGTTTGAGGGTTTTTAAAATTCTCTTCACAGTTTAATATAATGCTTTACAATAAAATGTGGTACCACTCACATATGCCTAAAATTTTAGCCTTGTGGGAGCCCAACATGAGTGAAAATCCTAGTCCTTCTGAATTTTGAATCTCTGATTTAAGTTAGGGTGTGCCTTTGTGCAAAGATATAGTAGGCAGGATGGCAAGGATATGTCTATTCAAAGGTTCCGCTGTAGTGACTTGCTGCACAGTGTGTTATTAAGATGTTAATAATGTTTATTATTAATATTTAAGACATTTAAAAACATCCTCTAAAATGATAAACTTTCTGAAAGGAATGTCAGATTTCTTCAAAAATAGATATTTGGGTTAAAATTTACTTCTAAAACATATATTTATCTGATCTCATACAGGCTGTGAAAGAGCCCTCCATTTGATAATGCTTGGAGCACTGAGAATTGAGTTAATATTTTGGCTCATGGTGTCAATGAAAGGGAATATATCCTTAAGTAACCTGGAGATACTCCCTTTTTTCGCGCATTGCAGCTGTAATACAGGAAGTTACAAAGAGTTAGTTGTTGGGGACATTACACCCTCATAATATCTTCAGTAATTTTATTCCTACCTTTCTAGTTCAGTGCTGGAGAAGAGATAATAGAAATCAAATTATAGTAGACTTCTAATGACACTCTTGTAGTATAGTCAATCTGATTAGCTACATAACAGAATTATGCCATCGTGATCAGTATATAATCACTAAATGGTTAATATGGCTACAGTTCTAGCACATGCTTATAAAGGACTGACCATAAAATGGTTACATTAATATATGGTTTTGAATTGTCAGAATGACATAGTCACAAATAAATACAAACTGTGCCAGAGAAACAAAGTTTCCATGCTTTCTGCTCTCTTGCATTCACGTGCATTTTTAAATCTTCCTATGATGTTCAGTATTGTTCTTTGTGTTGCTAGTTTTTTGAAATAGTGAGTTCTGCCACATAAAAACATATAAATGCAACTAGTTACTAAAATTTGCATTCACCTGCTTAATTTTTTAAAGGTGTTTTGCTTCTTTTTCTCTGTTTATAAAATGTTATATAGGAGCAAGTAGAAGCAAGTAGGAAAGACATGGATGAATACTGAAATAAAAGAGCATCATCAAAATTGGTTGTATTTCAAAGCATTTGATTTGGAGCAGAAAAAGTTGAATAAAGTTTATGTATTTTATAGTCACATGCGTCTGGGGAAATTCTTATATATTTAATAATTCATGAAAAGGGATGATTGCTTACAGTGCCAGAGCAATTACATTTTTTGTTTGTTTGTTTTATGTTTTCTGATTAATATGAATATCAGAGTAAGAGGGTGATTAAAACACATGAATTGCACAATTTGTCACTTCAGTTGCTGAAATAGTTTAGAAGAATGCACAATCTCAAAAAAAATTGCCTTGGAATTTGTTTACCTAGAAAAAAAAATGTTTTTTTTTTCCTGTCATCTTTCCTAAACAGGTTTTAAAATGTCTTTTCTTTTAAATTATTTTCCCCTCACGAAAGAAGAATGGGTAACCCTGCTCCAACCTAATATTATATATGCCAGGTCAATGAAAATCTTCATAAACTCCTCAGGCTCTATGCAGTTGTTCTCAAGTTAAACCCCGAGGCAAGGTGATGGTGCTGAACTTAGCCAATCTCCCTGGGGGTAATTCTAGCTGTGTTCTGTGGCTACAGTCTGTATACGATAAGGAAATCTATGAAATCCACCCTCAAAAAATCTACAGTTCCTTTAAAGAGTGTTATGTTTAACTAAGGGATATAGTCAAACATGCACATCCCCATCTTTGGCCTAATCTTACAATTAAGGCTGCTGGTAGGAAGCAATGAAGTTGTTAATGCTTCTTTGAAGAAGTTTTGCAGTATAGATCTGAAATCTAGTATAAAAAAGTGATACAAGCTTGTATAATAAAAAAAATCAGGAGGATGCCAAAAGAAAAAGAAATAGTAAAGTCTCAAATACTTGTTTTTGAACCTGAGGGCTTTTCAAAAGATGCAGCAGTTAAATTCATTTATTCAGTTGTTAGAATTTTATTACTGTCTCCTTTTTTCTTTTCACTTTTCAGTTTGCTCCTTTCTACCCTTAATTTTATCAGCATGATTATTCAGAAAAAGAGCATTTTGCTTGTGTTTGATGGAAACAAAAATCAATAATTGCTTTAGTCTGTATTTTTTAAATGAACACAGCAAGCTACCCAGTAAATTCCCAGTTATGAGGCCTTTTTCATAATAATTAAAACAGATAAGAATATTTGGAGTGGATTGTTGCTTGCAAGATGTGGCAATGATTTGAATAGATAAAACTACCTAATTAATTTTACCTACAGATACTACTACAATTTTGTGGGAAGTGGGTCTAATTAGAGCTGAAACCAGGTTGTCCTTCCTGATATTTCAGATTAGGGACTATTCTTTCCTTAGTTCAGGTGGTTGGTAAATGTCCATTTGCTACATTGAATAATATCTATCTTCTAGGTATGATATAGAGCAATATCTGCCTCATCAATATTATCCATTCAGGGCAATACTACAATGAAATACTGATTGAGAATTGTTGATCATTCTGTTAGTTCCTGGATTTTATTTGGAATATTTGTTACTCAACAATAAAATTACAGTAGTAGGATTATTCCCATAGGGAGGTAGGAAAAAGTCCATTTGAGCAGATTTATTTAATACTGCTCATGTAATTTCTTCCCTTGTCCTTCAGGGATCTCTTCTACAAGGAAACTGATAATAGTAGGAGGGAAGAAAATTGTATAGAACTTTTGAGGAAGATCAGTGTTATCTATGCTATCCTTCTAAAGATTAAAACTGAGAAGAAAGTATCCTTTCAAAGGGTAAACTAGATAAAGCACTGCAACTCAATGTATAGAGTAATTTTTTAAAAAATAACTATTAATATTTTCCTTTATTTCTGGCTTTTCTTCACAGCACCAAGGAAAAATTGGTGTTAAATTTAATGTTGGAACAGATGATATCGCAATTGAAGAAGTCAACGCAATCATTAATGATGGAAAATACCATGTAGTACGTTTTACAAGAAGTGGTGGTAATGCCACATTACAGGTGGACAACTGGCCGGTTATAGAACGCTACCCAGCAGGTGAGAATGTAAATACAATCTGATGGATTTGTGCAATTATAGGGTTTTAAAGGTTTTTTTCTTACATAGGTATGTAGGATCTTTGCTTCTTCAAGATGCCTAACTGTCTAATTGCTGCCATAAAAAATGTTTTTACCAATTGTTAAAATAGCAATTTTTGAGTTTTTATTTCATTACATTGGACAGATGAATAAAACTGAGGAGTAAAGATGTCAAAATTCTTTGAAACCAAGTTTTAAATAACAAGAACAAGGTATTAATGTATTGATGTACTTAGATAACGCAAAGGCTTTGACAAAAATAGCTTAATATATTGAAAAACCATCTGGAATTGAAATAAGTACAGGAAAATAGTACTTATTTTATAAACCACTATTAAGCAAAGTAACAAAATATATTACAATACTAATTTAAAGAAAAATTGGATTAATTTTACAAACATTTGCCAGTTGTGTTCACCAGCTGCTTAGTTTAAGCTGTCTTATCAAAATCTATCCAACATATGGTTTGTTCCCCCCAAAATATTTTTTGTTGCTCATTAGATGAGCTGTGGTATAGCCTCAGCAGATTATCAATTATTTTTAATTGGCCAAGCCAATGGATAGGCCTTGTGTCTTGCACAAAACCATAAAGTTATATGCTGAATCTTATGAAAATGATGTGATGATGTATTATAAATTGGAAAAAATGAATTTTAGGAAAAATAGACACAAAAATGCCTCATTGGCGCATTGGTTAGAGTGCAGTACTGCAGGCTACTTCTGCTGCAGCCAGCTGCCTGCAATTTAGCAGATCGAATCTCACCAGGCTCAAGGTTGACTCAGCCTTCCATCCTCCCGAGGTAGATAAAATGAAGACCCAGATTGTTGGGGGCAATATGCTGACTTTGTAAACTGCTTAGAGAGAGCTGTAAAGCACTATAAAGTATATATAGGTCTAAGTGCTATTGTTGTTGCTATATTTTAATGTAACAATACTTTATGCAAAATGAAAACAAGGCAAACTGAATGAGATAAAATATAATGGATTCATACAGGCATTTCTACAATTCTTTTTACAATCAGGATGCTCTGATGTCACAGAGATTTTCACAAGATGAAACTAGAGTTCTCTTTCGACATTTTATAGCATAGAGTCATGCTTTGTGGTCTTACATCCCAGTTTGGGCTGGACATTGCAATTCCAGTCATATGTGATAATAGTCAGGAAGGGTTGCTACTTCACCTGTTTTCTATACAATGAGACCAATTAACAAGTTCATGATTTTTTTTCCTGGTACTGCTATCAGTTTCCAATTAATAAGCTATGATCCTCTGCACGAATGAGTGGCAAGAATAGAGTCTTGTGTAGACTTTTGAAGTTTTCCAGTATTTAAAATAACAATAGCGGAACTTCTGGTGAACTTTAAAATCAGCATCTAAGCTCCAATTTTTGGTTCTTTGGTAAAGGATGTGAGTTTAACAAGCCATTATCCAGGGAAGCATTTATTTTGTCACTCCTTTTTGTGAAAAATACATATTTCTTACCATAAATTATTGGCTGGTCTTCATCACAATTACAAGAATATATTCTTAACTATACTTGTTTAATTTTAGTGTCTGTGTATTTACTTAAAATTTTATCCCCTGCTATTAGTTCATTTATTATCTTATTTGTTATACTGCATGCAATTTGAGGAGGAAGGTTGAGCTTTTTAAAATTAAACTTTCATTTTACTTTGATTTTTAATGCTCAAAAGCAAGTTTATAGTCTGTGGAACAATAAATAGCTCTATGTTGCAGAATTCTTAGGCATTTGGATTTAATACTAACACTAAGTCATTTCCTGTATTCTTCTCCTCCTCCCCCAGAAAAAGAAAACACTGGAAATGTTTCATAAAATGTTAAACGAGCATTCATAGTCTTTCTGTTGATTTTAATAGTTCCTTGTACACTACAGCAGGGCCTAATTAAAAACATAGTTTCAGTCATAACTCAGAATTCCCTTGTGAATCTTCTTGCTCAGCTCAGGCCAGTTGTTCTCAATCTTTAATTTTCTTTAAGCTTTTATCAATATCATAATGGTGTGTTGTAATGTAACAGCAAAAATTGGTGTTTTGTTTTGCTTTTGAACTTTGCCTTGATTTAACTCTGCCATTATAACATCTGTTTTGCTTTTGTGCTTCTTGTCCAATCTATAAGCCACATTCTGCATCCTTTTCAGTCAGGTTTCTGGCCCAGTTATGGAACCAAAACTCCATTAGTCACATCCATCCTTGCTCTTCTGGATCTGTTAGTGGCTTTCAATATCATCAACCATGATGTTCTTTTAGGTTGACTTAAGAAGTTTGGGGAGGGCAGTACAGTTTTTGGCTGGTTTACCTCCTTCTTCCAAGGAGGGTCCCAACTGGTGTTAATAGGGACCAAGAGCCCCTCCTTTGTGGGGTGCCACAGAGCTTGATGCACTTTCTGCTCCTATTTTAACATCAACATGAAACTGCCGGGCAAGGTCATCCATCACCATAGGGCAAAGTATCACCAATAAGCTGATGGTATCCAGCCATATATTTCCATCCCAGCTGAAGGGAATGACGCAGTAGACATCCTTTCATAGTTCCAGCAGGCTGTCAGGAACAGCACACTTCAACTGAAATCCATCTAGTAAGATAGAATGGTGGTCTTATGTATATAGGAGTTTATCAATTTTGGTCTTGGATAGGGTTGAACAACCTCAGGTATATAACTTGGGGGTCCTCTTGGACTCACAGCTCCTTCTTGAATAAGGTGGCAATTGTGGCCAGGAGGGCCTTTGCCCACCTTTGCATTATGTGTAGTGCCATCCCTTTCTGGACAGGAAAGTCCTCTGTTACTCATACCCTGGTCATCTCCCAACTGGACTATTGCAACATGCTCTATATGGGGCTCCCCTTGAAAAGTATCCAAAGGCTTCAGCTGATGCAGAATGCAGCCACATGAGCCATACTAAGGGCCTAAAGAAGGGCATATATAACACCTTTGCTCCACAAATTTCAGGTCCAATTCAAAGTGTTGGTTATTACCTATAAAACCCTACATGGCATAGTGCCAGGCTATCTAAAGACTTGGCTTCAGCCTGTTGCATCAGTCCATCCCACTCATTCAGGCAGGGAAGCTATGTTATAAACCCGATCTGTTTAAAATAAATTGAGAAAGAGGGCTTTTCTGCCACAGCCTCTGAATTGCGGAATATCTTGCCCTCAGAGTGAGAAACCCCCCCAATATTTTGGCCTTCTCTGTAGCCTTGGGGGGGGGGACACAAAGACCCACACAACCATGAAGCTGGCTGAACCCATGAGAAACCACCACTCCCAACACCAGTACTAATAACTGCTAATCTCCCATCTTGGAATTCTTTGCCTTTTGAAAAATGGAATAGAATAGAATCATTCTTTATTGGCCCAGTGTGATTGAGCACATGAATTTGTTTCCTGTGCATAAGCTCATGGTGTACATATAAATCAGAATTACTGGAGAGCATTTCACCGAGACTGCCATCAGCAGTGCCATCCTTAACGGAATCATATATGGATATATGATTTTTTTTTATAATTTTGTTTTACAATTTTAAAACTTTTAATACTAAATTACTATAATTTTAATGTTTAATTTTATTGATGATATTGTACGTGGGAGGTTAAGAAATATAAAATATAAATAAACAACTATCCCCAGGAACCGACATGGTAGGCGATAACAATATTGTCTGTCCATTTTGGAGTGGTTTGTGGTTTGTTTTGTATATGCAGGCAGTGGCCTACATACATATGGCAATGATGATTATGTGGTCTACTGTATACTAGGTGCCTTCAGCTGACGCAGAAAATTCTAAAAGTTTCCAGCTGCAATTACACTTATCTGTTGTAATCTATTCCTCCTTTCCCTTCATCACCAACTCTTTCATGGATTGTTGTGGTCCTTTGACCCATTCGTCAGTGAGTCCTCCCCCACTTTAAAAAAAAAAAAACTGTGCTGCTGCTACCAGGGGAAAAATGTGAACGTTCTTCTCATAACGGCAAATTCCTGTTTCTAGGTTCTCCTTAGTTGGTTTTTGTTCCATTAGGGCAAGGCTGTTGGGAGAAAGAAGCTGTTCCATGTTTGGATCAGTGGCTGAAGCCAGTTTTGTTTTATCCCCTTTTTTTTTTTTACTTCCAGGCAAGCTAAAACTGGCTCTTTTTACAGGGCTGTTTGAAATTCAGCAAAGAGTACTGGAGTACTATTTCATACTTTGAGCAATCAACTGAGAACTCAGGATTTATATCAAGCTTCACAAACTGGACTTTTTTATATATATTTTTCTACCTCAGACTTCCAACAACTGCAACAAACTTAACCAGTGGTCAGAAATAAAGGGAGTTTTAGTTAAATCCTCTGGTGAATCTAGGTTAGAGAAAGGCTAAATAGCAAGCCTTGAAAGAGAGAAATTTGTGCGTGTGAAGGCAGTCAAGAATTTGTTTCTGAATGAACGGATGAATGAATGAATGTCACACTGACAAGGAATTCTATTGCACAAATACTGCAAAGCAGATCTGATATTTTCCCTTACATTTCTATAATGCTTTCCTAATGTCAGGATTCGGGCAGTTACCCCCATTTAAATCATGAGTCTCAAGCCAAACTTCCAAAACTCAAAAAGATTTATTGAGAATTAAACTGTCCAGCATTGCCTGGGTGTAGCCAACTCTGAGACACATAATTCATTGTCACCCTTGATCCTGGTCTTCCCCCACCCCTGGGTATATCGTAATTCATATTCTCCAATGGGACACATACATAGCCAAGATTCATCAATCATGTTCTCCAGTTAGAATTGTGCCCCGCAGAAACTTCGATCACCTAGTTACTATCTTTGAAAACTATTTATGGAATGCAGTTTTGGTTTGCAAGCAGCTGCACTGCTCTCCCCTCCCTTTCTGTTGGCAACTCTAAAAAGACTATAGAAATATTTTATGAGTTGACATCTAATCTATTGTATACTTTTTTTAA